ATAATCTTATCCACCGATCCGACATTTATCGACATATAAGATTGCGTCATGTGTCCTATTTAGTATATTATACATATTTATATTATTTAAGATAAAAATATTAAAAAATAATCTTACTTTTTTTAAATTTGTGCCTAGTCAAATTAAGTGTGTGAAAAAAAATATTCCCTCTATTTAAAAAAAATGACCTAGTTTGACTTGACGTGGAGTTTGAGAAAATAAAAAAGATTTTTTAATTTTGTTGTTCTAAATTAAAATTATGTCAAATGTATCAAAATGTCTTTTGATATTGTGGTCTTAAACATGCCACATAGAAAGCAAGAACTAAAGTGTTGCCAAAAAAAATTGTGTCATTCTTTTTTAAATAGACAAAAAAAAAGTAGATCATTATTTTTTAAATAGATGGAATATTTGTTTTGAAAATGAAAAATGATATTTGAAATTGAAAATTGTAGTTGGCCATGAATACAAATTGGTATTATTTCTAACTTTTTATGAGTAATTTAGAGTTAAAATTTTGAAATCCAATTTCAAGTTGAATTTCAAAATTTTATAGTAAACATATTTTTGAAGTTTAATTTCTAAAAAAGTACTCCCTCCGTTTAAAAAAGAATGGTCTAATTTGACTTGACACGAAGTTTTAAAAAATAAAAAAGACTTTTCAATCTTGTGGTCCTAAATTAAAATTATGTCAATTGTATTAAATTGTCCTTTAATTTTATGGTCTTAAACATGTCATTTGAAAAATTGAAATTAAAATGTTACCAAAAAGAGAAAGATGTCATTCTTTTTTAAGAAGACTAAAAAGTAAAGAGTGTCATTCTTTTTTAAATTGAGAGAGTAAAACGAAAAAAAGTAGTAAATCGGAGATGGTAAAATCATGTGGTTTGAAAGAAGGGTACGTACCCTAAGTCAAAGTGAGTGGGTGCATAATACATTTGATAATTACTATATAAGAAGAGTGAATAAAATTCACTCTTCTTTTGACACATGGCACCAAAAAAAAGGAGAGGGTTGAACATAAGTGTCAAGGTGAGGGTATTTTGGGTATTTCAAAATACCCTCACATTCACACTTATGTACTACTTATATATTATACATTATATATTACTATTATATATATATATATTTTTTTAGTAGATAAGTGTGAATGTGAGGGTATTTTGAAATACCCAAAATACCCTCACCTTGACACTTATGTTCAACCCTCTCCTTTTTTTTGGTGCCATGTGTCAAAAGAAGAGTGAATTTTATTCACTCTTCTTATATAGTAATTATCAAATGTATTATGCACCCACTCACTTTGACTTAGGGTACGTACCCTTCTTTCAAACCACATGATTTTACCATCTCCGATTTACTACTTTTTTTCGTTTTACTCTCTCAATTTAAAAAAGAATGACACTCTTTACTTTTTAGTCTTCTTAAAAAAGAATGACATCTTTCTCTTTTTGGTAACATTTTAATTTCAATTTTTCAAATGACATGTTTAAGACCATAAAATTAAAGGACAATTTAATACAATTGACATAATTTTAATTTAGGACCACAAGATTGAAAAGTCTTTTTTATTTTTTAAAACTTCGTGTCAAGTCAAATTAGACCATTCTTTTTTAAACGGAGGGAGTACTTTTTTAGAAATTAAACTTCAAAAATATGTTTACTATAAAATTTTGAAATTCAACTTGAAATTGGATTTCAAAATTTTAACTCTAAATTACTCATAAAAAGTTAGAAATAATACCAATTTGTATTCATGGCCAACTACAATTTTCAATTTCAAATATCATTTTTCATTTTCAAAACAAATATTCCATCTATTTAAAAAATAATGATCTACTTTTTTTTTGTCTATTTAAAAAAGAATGACACAATTTTTTTTGGCAACACTTTAGTTCTTGCTTTCTATGTGGCATGTTTAAGACCACAATATCAAAAGACATTTTGATACATTTGACATAATTTTAATTTAGAACAACAAAATTAAAAAATCTTTTTTATTTTCTCAAACTCCACGTCAAGTCAAACTAGGTCATTTTTTTTAAATAGAGGGAATATTTTTTTTCACACACTTAATTTGACTAGGCACAAATTTAAAAAAAGTAAGATTATTTTTTAATATTTTTATCTTAAATAATATAAATATGTATAATATACTAAATAGGACACATGACGCAATCTTATATGTCGATAAATGTCGGATCGGTGGATAAGATTATGACACGTGTATGTCCGTTAGTATAAAGGGTATATATGCTCTAATTTTTGGACGGCAGGAATACCAATGTGCCAAAAGTATGACGGAGGATATTTGCATTTACGATAATTCGGAGATATATTTATCTTTTTTTCCCAAAAAATAAATAAGATTGACAAAATTGGACCGGAGAGAGGTACAACAAAGGAAAGGATAATTTTCACACGAAAGTATGTATTATTAATACAACTTGTGATTTGTTAACAATTTTATTGATACAATTCGACGACTCACGCAATGTTTGTTTTTTTGGAACAAAACGTCTTTCATAATTATATTAATCATGCATAGTTTACGCTGACAATCTACGCCCCCCCATCCCCCCGAACCCATCACACACACATAACATAGTACTATTTTATTTTATTTTAAAACTATTGAAACTTATGGGCAATATATTAATTAATAATATATGTGTAGTAATACATTTGTTTATTAAGAATAGAATAAGAAATTTAAAGTTAATCATTTTAAATTATAGAAGTATAGATATGTATCATCATTATTCCTTATTCTTCCAAGTAGAAACTAATAAGAAAAATATATCACATAAAATGATATAAGAAAATATGTATAGTAGAGTAGCATTTTTATTCTGAACCAACTTCTAAAGGAACAAATAAAATATAACAGATAGATCTACAATTTTTATTTTATAATTTTATAATTATTCGTACTTATTAAGTCAACTAATTTAAATTTGCATCATATAAGATTCATTAAAAAGCACTCTCGATCAGGATTTATTTTATTCTTGAGACTCGAAATCTAAATCAGTTACAATACTAGAACGGTTGATGTTGCAGACAATTTGATTCTATGAAATCACACAGAACGACTTGTGAAAAATAATCTCTAGCATTGTAAAGTGACGTATTAGAATATATAGATCTTGTGAAAAGTTGTTACTACAGATACATAGTGGACAGATATAAACTAAAGTCAAAAAGTCCCAAATTAACTTTTGATAATAAAAAGAATTCATTTTTTTTATAAAATAAAACGTTAAGGATTCAGGGAGGAGATTATAAGGTGAAAAAGCAAACGTTCATTAATAAAATAAAAATTCAGATAGATGAACGTTCAAATTATCAACTAAACTGAGTTATTAACTTCAGAAATCCATGGTTTAATTTGTAATTGAATGGTGCAAATATTCATTAATTATTTACCTATCCAATTCAGAACTTCACATCACTAAAAGTATAAAGTACGAATATATACACACACTATTTATTTATACTGATAGATACTATAAACTTGACAGGCTCTATTAGTTGCACGGTTAATGCCTTTTCACTTATGCGTAAAACTGATAAATTATCACTACCTTTTACTAATATATTTTAATTTGCTGTGCTTTACTAATTCTATTGCCTCTGTCAATGGCGGAGCCAAGATTTTTAATAAGGGGGTTTAAAATCTGAGAAGTAAACACATGAATTAGTGGAAGGGAGTTCGACATCTATTATACATACTTAAAAATAATTTTAACATTATATAAATAGTAATATTTTCCGCCGAGGGGGTTCGGATGAACCCCCTAAGTATATGTTGCCTCCGCCCCTGGCCTCTGTCAACGTACAACTTTTGCCATCTTAATTTATGTGATTTTATATGATTTGACACAATTTAAGAAAAAAAAAACTTTTGAAATTATAGTTCAAAATAAATTTTTTGATATTTATATAGTTATAATTATAAAATCATCTAATTAAGAGTAAAGAGAAATTTTAAAATTAAATTCTTTGTAATTATATAAAAAGTTACATTTTTTGTGGGACGAACAAAAAAAGTCAAATGATCCATTGGAACGAAGGGTGTAATTACTACTCCATCCATCTCAAAATAAATATCATCTTAGAAAAACTCACGTTCATTAAGAAATTGAGAAATTTTAGTAGCTCAGTTGGTTGACTATCTAAACTCCCACATTGTTGGTGGAGGTTCGATTTCCCACATTGTAATCCCCTCCCCTACCCCCAATTTTTAAACCCACCATTTTTTAAAAAAAAAAACGCTTATTAAGAAATCAATAAATATAATATGTAGCTTAGTAAATGGTCCTTGTTTTTATTCTTTTATTTGTGTTGCACTTGTATAGTTCTTGTATAATACACATTATTGTCATTGTCATTTTATTTGTATTGCACTTGTATAAATCTTTTCATGTTAATTAGTTACTACTGTAATCATTTTATGAGCATTATATAAAATTACATCATTGTCCATCACACTAAATTATTAAAGAAATCATATATTTTTTAATATACATTTTCTTATTAGTTCAGTAATTGATTTACCATATTTAAAAATAAAAATCTAATAAATAAAATTAATAATATATAAAATCGAACCAAATGACCTGGAAGCATAAAACAAATGTGAATAATTAATTTTCTCCTTTTCTCTTTTTAATTAATTGTCACTTGTGTGTGGTGCACATTAGGGGTGTGCATTCGGTTTTTTGGTTTGGTTTTACACTATTCGGTTTGGATTTTTGGTTTTTGGTTTTGTAAAAGTGTAACCCAATCCGATCCAAAATAAATTTGGTTTGGTTTGGTTTTCCTCTATTCGCTAATAGAAGACAAGATAATGAAACAGTGCAAATGCATATTGAGAGCGGGGCCGCCGGTGGTGTGAATAGTAAACCTCCTCTGCCCCACTTCACTCCTCTAGGCCCCACCACCCTCTCAATTACTCTCTCTATTTTCTTTTTTTCTTCTTCTATTACTATACTGTATAGTTTTTCTCTCTCTTTAATTTCTCTCAATTCATCAAAAAAACAGTCTCACCATCACTTCTAACTCTCACACATTCAGTGTATTGCTTAAGTCGCATCATCATCTATCTAACTTTGAAATACTCCTACTTCTTCTTTTCTCTAAAAAATCCGAAGTAATCGAGCTCTATCCATTATTTCACTATATTGTTTTCTCGAAGATTTGCTTCAAATTGTAGAAACAAAGAGGGTAAATTGAAATTGCTTTTCGCCTTGTTGAGTAAGGTTTTCTTTTCGCTTTTACTTGATTTAATTTGAGTTTGAATTTGAATGTGTTCCACTTCCTCATATATAACAATTTTGAGTGATTGTGACTATCTGGGTTGAGTTAGACAAGCAAAAGAAATATCTTATGCAATCATTGATGACCAGTCTGTCTATCTAGTATTCAGTACTAGCTAGAACTATTAAAATTAAAATAGATGAAGCATCGTTGCAAGGCGATTTTTGTAACAGCTTTTCTCTTAGCTAACTGTCAGACAAGGATGTAAAAGCTCCATCCTTACAATTTGGGGTTTTAAAAGCACTAGTCAGTGGAGTTAGTAATTGGATCGTCGCGATTACAGGTTGGAAATTGGAATTATCAATAATATTTTACTCTCATAAATTCTAGCATTTTATGGATTCAACATCTAGAGTCGAACAATCCGACCCAAACATTGTCGGTAGCGAAGGAGGAGCAGGAGAAGGTACATCTTCAGTAAGCGGTGCCACAGAGGGTGGACAGTCAACAACGGTGTCTGCAGCACCACCAAGTCGATACGAGTCACAGAAACGTCGAGATTGGAATACTTTCTTACAGTACTTAAGGAACCACAAACCGCCGTTAACCCTAGCCCGTTGCAGCGGAGCTCACGTGATCGAGTTCCTTAAGTACCTTGATCAATTTGGGAAAACAAAAGTGCACGTGACCGGGTGCCCGTATTTCGGGCACCCGAATCCACCAGCACCTTGTGCGTGTCCGTTGAAACAGGCTTGGGGTAGCCTTGATGCACTAATTGGAAGGCTAAGAGCTGCTTATGAAGAAAATGGGGGAAAACCTGAATCAAATCCATTTGGTGCTAAAGCTGTTAGAATTTATTTAAGGGAAGTTAGAGAAAGTCAAGCAAAAGCTAGAGGAATTCCTTATGAAAAGAAGAAACGTAAACGGCCGAGTACATCGAGTTCGGTCGCGACAGCTGGCAGTGCTATCACGGCAGAAGGAGGAGGTAGTGGTGGTGGTGGTGATGGCAGTGGCGGAGACGGTGTTATTGGTCAGCAACCACCTACTGCTCCTAATACAACAGTATAGTACAATACTATTCATTTTCAATTTTAAGTGTAGTCAGTAATTGTGAATTACCTAAATCTCATGTGACGCGAATTCAAATTTAATTCTGATCACATTTGTTTTTCTAAAATATATTTAGTGACAGTTGAATTATCATTCACGAGGGTAAGAATATTTCTCTATATATTGCATATGAGATTTCACCAGGTATTCTTCCTTTCTGTCTTATAACTTTGACGGACAGAGTTATATGATATATGTTGGTGATAGAAGGTGATAAGTATCCCGTGAAATTAGTTGAGGCTCACGAAAACTGATCTGAACACCATGATCATCGAAAAAGTATTGCATCTGAGATTGAATTAATCTTGCATTTAGACAACATTAAGCATGTTTTACCAATTTTACCAGTAAGAATGAGTGAAGTGAGTAGTTCAAAATTGATCTGATATATGAATGTGTGTATATATATATATATATATACATGGTCCCCTATTTTACCTTGTATGAAAATGGAAAAAAAATATACTGTATATCCTCACGTGTGTGTGTCTTTAAACTGCAGCATACAAATATAACGTCAGACTTTTTGCAGTTTCAGGTGCCTCCTTCTTTTACCCAGATTTTGTTACCCTATCTGGGTTTTTTTTTAAACTTTTATGTGTATATTGATTATTGATAGTTGAATTAAATATTTTTTTACATTTATCAGTGAATGTAGTAACTTATGATAAGTAGTACGTACTCCATTTTTATCAAGTTAACAATGATATATTATATAATTATTCTAAAATTTTATATAATTATCTTTCAAGTAATTTGAAAGTGTATATAATTTTTTATCGACCTATTGTCACAATTCAGCTATTACATAGTATCCGTATGTATGTTACATTGTTACTGTTATTGCAAGTTTTAGCATTATTTGTACTAGTTTAAAAAATACGAAGTAGTGAAGAATTTCTGTCATTATTTGAACGAATTTAAGTTATATACACACTTATTTAGGGTTTTATTTCAAATTTTAATTGTTATTTCGATTCCAACATTAAGATATAATCTGGTATTACCTCGAGTCAAAAACGAAATAAAATATAATATAAAAACCAGATTTTAAAATCAAATTTCTGTTCTTGAGGTCTTCTTGGGTAAGAATGAGACGTAAAAAAGGTTTTATTGGGGTGATATCAACAGCAATAATAAAAGAACAATATAAGGGCATCCTTGAATAATTAGCTACTATATAATAATAATTAAAGTACAATATAATATACTGTATACTTTTTTTTTAATAAAAAAAAAAAACAGGAGAAGGCACTACCTTCTTTAGTGCGAAAAGGACCCTCAGCCAACTGATGATGCTTCCATTCTATTCATTATTTTAATTTTATTATTGAAGTAATTATTGTTCAAATCCATTAATTATTTTATTGTTGAAATCTATTCATTGGCTATTCATTATCATATATTTGTTTAAAAAATAACATTTAATTATACTAACAAACAAAAGTTTCCTCTTCTTCCTGTGCAAGGCTACGTACGCAATAATATTCTTGATTATTTATTTCCAATATATATTATAATTATTAGAATTATTATGCCTTATTATTTTATGTATCCAAATCTGATTGATGTAATCCAATGATCACCTTATATCATTTTTCTATTTTCCCTTTTCCAGCTGACTTTTATTTTTCTAAAAAATCAACAATAACTTATTATTTACTGCTGAAATAAAACTATCACTCATTTCTTGGAAATTTCTTTTATGATTGCATCTATAGTTTGCTCTTTGATAAGGAATTCGAATAGAACTGTTCATTAATTGGTTGAAAATTATTCGAAGTGTTTGACCATCTTATTTAAATTTTAAGTTATTTGAATACTCAACTTAAGTTTTTAGGTTAACGTTTTTAAAGTAAAGTACGGTTTAAAGCCCATTATGTTGTTCAAACATATATGACTGAAGTTCAATCATTTTTACCTGAAATTCAATATATATATATATATATATATATATATATGAAGTTCAATCATTTTCATCTGAGTTTAGTGAGGGGTGGAGCTAAGTGAGGGTTCGTGGATTCGGACAAATCCAATAGTTTTTTCATAGATCCTGTATTTGAATTAGAAATATAAATACATACATATGTATATTAATTTGTGAATCCCCTAAAAAAATTGATTGATGACTCAGTGATAAGGAATGAGCAGTGCACTTTAGTGTTGTGTTCGAACCTCACTCTATCAACAAGAGTTTCTCTTCTTCTTTTTTTGTATAAAAAAGTATGTTTTACAATATTTTTCTTTTTTATCCTAAAATTTAGAACCTCCAAATTTCTAATCTTGACTCCGCCTCTAATTTTAGCCATATATGATTGAATTCAAACGTTTTTACTTGAAATTCAACATATATATTACCTTTTTTCCTGAGTTCTAGCTATATGTGGTTAAAATAATTAGTTTTGGCTAAGGCATAAATAGTGATGATAATTAAGTGAATAGTCAATAGATACACACAATTATTTGGTCCATTCCCCAAAATAATGAATTTTCAAGCCAACCTTCTACAGCAGAAATGTCTCATCAGACTTTAGAATAATATCTAGAGAGGGAAAAAAAAGTGATTGTAAGAGAATTGCCCAACTTTATTTTTCTTATTCTTAATTTACTACTCCATTTGTCAACTTATTCTCGTCTAACCTAAATAATAAGTATTCAATATTTATTAATTCAATTAAAATGAGTGGTCAAAATGTTTGAAGGAATATTACTGATCTTATAAAAACATATTTTTAGCTACCTGATATTCAATATTCATATTAATATTCTCACTAATTCAGATTCATATTATATAAAATTCACTAATTTAAGAAGGAAATGCTCGCGGCTCGCTTAACAAGATTTTTTCTGTATCTAACTTGAATTTGAGATCTCTGATTAAAAAATAAAATAAGATCACTTGATAATGTAAATGAAACAGGAAAGAGCAGTAATAGAATTTGTTAAATGTAAAAGCAACTGAGCAATTATTTGTCTTTGTCCAAAAGTTCATGGCACTCGTGAACAATATTTATTGAGCATGGTGCGCAATACATGCATATATTATAACTATAGAAAAGCATGGTCTATATACGAAGTATTTTTTTGAAAAAATATTGACAACACATCATAAAACAACAAGAGCACATTGTTTAGGATTTGAAATATATATGTACAAAATTTTAAATTAATTAAAAAAAATCAATTTGAGATCAAAAGAATGTTGCAAATGAAAGTTATCAGAACTCCTAAACTTTAAATTCTTATCATATATCCTATTTTTGCAATATGATTTCAATAAAAGAGATTCACTTAAACCCCTTTTCTTATCATGACTCCGCCTCTGTAATTAATCAGGACAATCACACAAACAAATTTAAAAAAAATTATCCTAGGAAACATTCATTATGAACTTTTGTTTTCTCCTAATATAATGTGACTCAACGCTTAAGCAAGACAAATAAATAAAAGAGTAGGTATATATTGATATATTCATGAGTGTAGGGTACGTGATGAATCTTCGAAATGAAAGGTTATCTAATTGATTACATAATTTGGGTTTATCTTTAATTATTATTGCTTTCTAGAAGAAAGCAACTTGTCATACTAGCTACTTTTACTAGGTTAGGGGAAAATATCTAGTCACACACACAATAGTCACTCGTACCAAATCAATAAAATATACTACTATATGATACGTATATTTTTACATATATCTAATGTGAATATGTAAATATCGAGTACGAATAAATTTGTAGGTCCCACACACAAAGATAAAAGTTGGGGGAGGGAGATTTGAGGGATGGGGAAAAAGACTAAAGAGGGTAAATTTTGACCGAGTGTATGGAAGGTCGCCGACAATATATGTGCACCGTATTTTTATTCACCAGACGGTCTTTAGCCACTCTTCTCATTTAATAGGATTCCTATGCATTTAACATGAAGAGTTTCCTTTGTTGTTCCCATTTTGTCCTATCAAATTTGAGTCGGCACCACCCACATTTTCAGAAATTTGATACGTGAGATCTCGAGTAAATGTTTACGTAACATATTTGAGATTGTTAAATGCTCGAGAGTTCTTCTATTTAATAATTCGGTAGATTGGTTGCTTGCATTTTTGTTTTATTAGTGAAGATTCGTTTTATACCGTATAATCTCCATAGAGATTTCACTTTTCATTCCCCTTTATGTATTGCTAAAAACTAAAATAAATAAGAAATTTAAAAGTTTTTTTTTTTCATGAAAAAAACACACATTTTCCTATGGGAATGTAACGGACGTATGAACAGAAAGGCCCAAGCTCTGGAAAAAATTGGCCAGATGAGATGACAGGCCCAAAATATGGGCCAGATGAGCTGATAGGCCCATTTAAGCAATGGGCTTGGCAAAAGAATTCGTCGACAGCAGGATTCGAACCTGCGCAGGCAAAGCCCAACAGATTTCGAGTCTGTCTCCTTAACCACTCGGACATATCGACGTAATTGCATTTTCTGATTAACAATATTAATTTAATTTAGAAAATTGGACTATCCAATTATCACTCTTTGATTAACCTATTGTGACAAACTTTTTTTTGTTTTCCGACGAATTTATAACATTAGACAAAGCGTCTTTATCTAATGGTTTTTTATTAATAATACAATAAAATCTTCAACATGAATAAGTACAAGCAAGGAAAACTTGATTTTACCTTACAAATCCTAATGAAGTAACAATTCTCTACTAAGTATTATGACAATCTCACTAGTTTAATGAGTCTAGTAATTTAAAGTAATAGATGCTCAACTATCTTTATTCCAATTTTGAACTAGTGCACCTATTATCATATTCTGAGATTGGATACTCCGTCTTAAAATGAGGACTCAAACACATTGGTGGCCTTTTTGTTAACAAAATACATGGATGTACAAAGGCCATATTTCATACTTTTTTTTTTCATCCCATATTTAATATTTCTACTCAATCAATTAATACATTACAATCAAGCAACTCTCTCTCTAAAATCTAAAGATACAATAAGTATTTTTCTGCTATACACAAACTTCTACATGAACTAATTATAACTTACAAGTATAATTTCACAAAATCCCAGCATTATAGAACAGAGTATATTACAAAAAAGCAGGGTTAAAAAAGCAGCATGTAGACTTATAATAATGCACTTAGCTTCTTCATTCATGATGAAATTGCTGAAGTTATAGTTGATAAGTTAGAATTACTTCTTTTTGTGAAACCAAAAGGCTTAATTTTCCTACCCTTTTGAATTGCATTGCAAGCTGGAACAGCAGCAGTACCTTTGTAAGCTTTACAAATGTAGCTTATGAAATTTTCACAGTCCTGCAAAAGTGAAACAAATATAATTTTTCGGTTAAACTGATTCAAAGATACTCTTAATATAATATGATATTGTTTGTTTTAGGCCAGATTCATATGATTCTCTATAAAAGGTCTCACACCATTACACTATATATATAACTATATGTAGCTTATTTTTTTCTTTTCAGCTATCAATATGAGACTTTGTTTGCGCACCTAACAGAATTACAGAAATTCTTGACTACATATGAAAATTGGAAGTGCAAAAAATATGAAATATGGAACAACTTAACTTACCTCATAAAGTGGTTGGGCCATCTATAACAACCCATGGCACATATGTATGAGGAGGTTGAAGGGCTATTGTCTCAGCAGCATAGAGGAATTCGAGCTGCAAATAACGTTACATAACGTTCAATCGCGGAACATAAAAACTAATTTCAGAAAAATAACACCAAGAAATGATCAACAAAAAAAAGCTCACCTCTTTCCCACACGCACTTTTTAAGCAATCAGTAACAGAATTTGCTTCTAATTTCAGTTTTTCAAAACATGTTTCCCATGGAGGATACTTCCTTTTGTATAAAAAACTATCCAACACCACATTTTCCATACATTTAATGAAAGGGAAGTATTCATTCTACATCACAAATTTAAAATTTTCGAATTTAAACAATCAACCATACCAGAATAGAGAAAAGTTGATACAAAAAATTCATTTAGCCAACCAACTGCATAAGTTACCAAATCTGGCCACACATCTATCGCACAAGCCTGTACAGTGTTCAACAAACATTCAAGTTTGCCATGCTGCAAACAGCAAAGGCAAATATTTCGTTAAGTCTAACTCAACAATAAAAACTAGCTCAAGAGATGAGAATTGTCCAAGTCATATTAAAGAGATCACGCATCCCATAAACAACAGATGTATGACTCTTCACACAACATAATTATGTGCTTATAAATTATAATTAGTACTTCCGTAAAACTTAATTAAGCCTAACAATCACGTTGATGGAGAAAATTAAATCAATGAGGTGCGTGTAGTGAAAAATCATTAGTCAAATAACTAGTCGAATCTAACATGGATTGAGTGGGATGATTGTGTTCCTTTCTTTTAATTAAAGGTCTCATATTCAAGTTTATTAAAAACACTGTCTCAAAATAAGTCCTATAATAATATGCAATTAAATTTCAATTGTAACTCTCATACCATCTGAATACCGAACATCGAATCGAATGAAATAAAGAAGAAGTATATATAGTAGAAGATAAGAAGAAGGAATATTCATTATGAGTTGGAGGTTTTTGAGGAGTGAGTCATCGCTTCACTTGAGTTTGACCTATTCAAAATCACTTTCCCATTTGTTTGTTTTCTCTTTCATTAATTGATTAATACTGACTAAACAATGCTATTGCTAAAAATGACTTATCATATAATAAAATAAAATTACGCCATATGTTTGTTGGTTTCTTGAAAATTATCTTATGGAATATTCAACAATTTTTTAAAATAATTTTTTCTATATGATTCTCCTCTAGTCCCATCCATATCGGTGTTATCTAATCCGAGTTGATTCAAGATGAATTGATCTCTCTTTTGTTTAGAGTAATGCACATTCTGACCTTATGTCACGTCATTGCATGTTCAATTTGATTAACCTCCTCCTTTTCTTAAAAAAAATATGAAAAATATTAGAAATTTATATGGTCCAATGCCTACTTAAATAGTGTCCATCCCAATGGCGAATGCAACATGCAAACACTTGGTTTAGTACTTTTGGTGTGGAACATAAATTTATTTATAAAAAAATATTTATATCGTAATAGATAGTAAATAGGTTTGGACGCATAATTTTAGAAATTCAGTGAGTTTAACACTAAGAACTTTAACAATTAAATTAGGAATCCATCTCTAGTTCACCTAACCAATTAAAATAAAAGTTTTTGATGAATATACAATAAATATAGTAGTATAACACATATATACACTTAAAAAAATAAAAAACTGAATTCGAAAGGCTATTTGTCTAAAGATTTCATATGTCAAAACTTCATCCAAGCCCATGTTATATTAGTTGTGGGCTGGATGAAGAAGAAGCAAATTAAGCCCAATCGAACACTTATGAGTTATGATGGATAAATAATCCGCTACCGTGATCCTCTCAACAAGGCCGAGATATGGCACCATTATTGAGGAGGCATAAAAGAGGCTGGCTGCTCAACATTATGTGATTTATGTAAATTATACTGTAACGAATCCATATTATAGTGAAAGAGATAATTGAAAGGAATAGTTTATCATTATAGTTACTCCAAATTACCGAAGGGAAGAAGAAGAAATAAAAAGAAAGAAGAGAGAGAGGTTGTAGTATTAATTTAAGCAACTAAGAAATAAAGAGACACCTTCATAGCATAGTCCTACTGGACTGTTTTACTCTTTTATATATAATATATGGAAAAATTACTTAAATACACAACACTTCTTTACATATTCTCAATATTTCCCTACTCTTTTACTAAATACAAAATCCCTTATTTTCCCCCAATTCAACTTAACCGGATACTTTATTAGTTTAAGTATCCGCCCGTATTAATTAAAGTATCCGCGCTGCTATATTATGCATCTGCCGGTTAATTTAAGTATCCGCCCGTATTAATTAAAGTATCTGCACTGCTATATTATGCATCTGCCCGTTAATTTAAGTATCCGCCCGTTATTAATTAAAGTATCCGCGCTGCTATATTGTGTATCCGAAAAACACTAAAAAAGGGATTTTTGGTAATTAATGAAAGAGTAGGGAAAGGAAGTAATTTCTTTCTTATACTATGTCATTTGCCTAATTTTTACATATATGGAAAAATTACTTAAATACACAACACTTCATATTAATTATATTTACAACATATCACGGCTTAATAGAGTTGATTGCCCATCGGTAACTCCCTTCAATTACATATCAACGGAGTGTAAATGAAGCAAGTTTTGCGGTTGGGGTTTGATGTATTTTTGCTTAGCAAATTAACTTGAATTTCTTGCAATTTTTATCCCTTTATCTATCTACTTGAGAGAAAAATGTAAGGTTTATTTGGTAGTTGATTAAAATTAGGCAGATATTAATCAGAAGAAATTTATGTATTTAGTTATGCATAAATATATTAGTTATATGAATTTTAAAATTGTAATCAAATTCTATATTCACGGGTTGGTTTGGATCGATTATTGGTCAAAATCAAAACCAAACCAACTTAATCGGTTTTAAAATTATCAAAACCAAACCAAACCAAATATAATATACATTTATCGGTTTGGTGATTATTGGTTTCGGTTTGGTTTGGTTCAGTTATTCGGTTATTAACTATACACAAAAATAAAAGAAACAATTCATTTAAAAATGTGAAAAAAAGTAGACAAACAAATCAAATTCAAAAACGAAAAAATAAGTTAAAAAATGACTTAAAATTACTAAAACTTTACAATCACTAATTTACTATCAATAAAACTTTAAAATTCACTATATTGGCCTAGAAGGAAGAGACAATAACATTTTCAATCCCACAAAGAATTGACATAGACACTCATATACATTAAATCAATAAGATAAATGTTTAATCTTGGACATTTTTGCTTTCAATAAGTAAATTATAAAGAAATTTTAATGAAAATATGTATAAGATCTTTAAAATTGTTTATAAAAACGGAAAATGGTCAAAATTGCCCCTGAACTATGCGAAATACACCACTTATACCCTCTATTACATTTTGGGATCAAAAATACCCTCGCAGTTATCCCAGGAGACCACAAATACCCTCAAGAGTTAACACCCAAATTTTTTAGTGACGTGGCAAGCCACATGGGACTAATCCCTCCACCTAAGCATTGCCAACTAAGATTCACTACAAAAGAACTTGACTTTTAGCGGCGACAAAGTCGCCACAAAATCCCAAAATATTGCCACTAAAGGTTATGAGTGATTTTTAGTGGCGACTAAGGCTCCAACAACCATTCGCTAGTAAAACCTATTTTTTCAACCAAAAAAATATGATAATTAATTTTCGATTGCAACCTAATTTTCTAAAATAAATAACTTTGCAATATCAATATTAAAAATATCCAATATTATTACGAAAAATCATCAAAATTACTTCTCGATTCAAATCTCCTACTATATAATGCATCATTGTACATTTTATACATTTACATATGACATAAAAATAAAACATATAGTGTCTTCAAACTCCTACTTAACTGATATCATAGTTGGTTTTTTAAAAACAATGAAGAAAAAAACACAAAATCAGAATTTAATGAAGGATTAGTCCCACGTGGCTTGCCACGTCAACAAAAATTTGGGGTGTTAACTCTTGAGGGTATTTGTGGACTCTTAGGATAACAGCAGGGGCATTTTTGATCCCAAAATGTAACGAAGGGTATAAATGGTTTATTTCATATAGTTCGGGGGCAATTTTGACCCTTTTCCGTTATAAAAATAATATATTAAGTATGTATATTAATAAAATATATGTATATAATTCATTGGTTCGGTTCGGTTATTTCTTCGATTTTTTTCGAATAAAACCATAACCAAACTAAATACTATCGGTTTTCAAAAACCTAAAACCAAACCAAATCAAACCCAAATAAAATCGGTTTTATTTTATCGGTTTGGTTTGGTTTTTCGATTTGGATCGGTTTTTATTCAAACCGTGAACACCCCTAGTTATTATACATGAATAACTTACCTCCTCTCAATTATTAAACATAATATAAATTATATAAAATTATCACTAAATACAATTTCTTTGAAATTTAATAGGGCATAACTGAGCTCCGAATCAAGTAAGGTAGGTGATTATTTGCTGGAGAAGTGGACAAAGATTAATAAGGAAAAATATCTTCTGTAATCGGCATATAAAAGTTGACCCTTCTATCCCCATATAGTATTTTATTACTCTATCTTTTCTTCTCTCATTTCATAAACCCTAGTTAGTGCAGTCGATGGCCGGTACGTACGGTTACGAAGGCGGCGGATCTGCTCCGCCACCAAGTGGCGGAGGAGGTGGCGGGTATGGATCGGGCGGTGGAGGATACGGTGCTTCAGGTGGTGGTTACGGAGGCAGTGGTAGAGGTGGTGGTGGTGGTGGTCGAGGAGGTGGAGGATATGGTGGTGGTTCCCATAATCGAGGTATTTATTTGAATTATTACACTATGCCTGTAGTTTGAATGAGTTTTAATTCATATGTGGCTCTATTTACAGGAGGTGGCGGTGGATACCAAGGAGGAGATCGTGGAGGTAGCGGTGGATACCAGGGAGGAGATCGTGGAGGTCGCGGCGGCGGTCGTGGTGGAGGAAGTGGTAAGGAAGGTGATTGGCGTTGCCCTAACCCAAGGTAATATTCTCACATCCTTCTCGTGGATATCCAGGTCATGATAAATTATCCTTACTCATTTCTCCCCCTAATACCTTTAAACCTTGTGAGACTCCTACTTAATTCCGTAAGAGCAAAAAAGTGTTATATTTGCTTCTACTCTTTCAAGGAGGAGATCGTGGAGGTGGTGGTGGATACCAAGGAGGAGATCGTGGAGGTAGCGGTGGATACCAGGGAGGAGATCGTGGAGGTCGCGGCGGCGGTCGTGGTGGAGGAAGTGGTAAGGAAGGTGATTGGCGTTGCCCTAACCCAAGGTAATATTCTCACATCCTTCTCGTGGATATCCAGGTCATGATAAATTATCCTTACTCATTTCTCCCCCTAATACCTTTAAACCTTGTGAGACTCCTACTTAATTCCGTAAGAGCAAAAAAGTGTTATATTTGCTTCTACTCTTGAACCTAAAGCCAATCGATAGCGAGGCAGCGTTTGTTTGTGCAATCTCATTAAGCTGAAACAGAAGTTAATTTTTGGAAAATCATGTTATCTTATCACTAGAAATATATGATTTCCTATTTCATAACTTGTATGAAATCCTGCTACTGAATTGTCCAGCCATTTTGCTCAAGATAACCAGTGTTTCCGTGTGCAGGTTCACTAAGAAATTTATGTTTAGTCTTACTTTTTAGTTGGGTTAACCTTACACCTTTGTATAACCCTGAACAATTCTTGGATTTTGTCAACTCTCTTGTATTATGACAGGGTATATTTCTGCCTTCCTACTTCTGTAAATCTTGCACCCCTGGATGCTTAGTTATTTTATTAGTACACTGCTATTTCATAAAAAAAAGAAATTTATTTTGATTCTCTGTGTCCTTCTAATTTTAATAATGCGTCTATCCTATCAATTCGACAAGATGTTAGTTCAGTGCGGTGGTTGTTCAAGGTTATGTCTTCTGGGTTTCATTTCCTAATATTTCATTTAACATATGTTACTGTGATTGTTACCATTTCTTGTCAATTGTTATTAATTCTGGCATGTCTGGGTGTAGTTGTGGAAATTTGAACTTTGCTAGAAGAGTTGAATGTAACAAATGTGGTGCTCCTTCACCTGCTGGTTCTGATGATCGTGGTGGCAGAGGTGGTAGCAGTTATAACAGAGGTGGAAGTGATGGCGGCTATGGAAATAGTCGAGGGGGAAGAGGTGACAGCTATGAAAGCAGAAATGCTGGAGGTGGTAGAACTGGTTCTTATGGTGGTAGTCAGGGAAGAGATGGTGGTGGTTATGCTCAAGGTCCTCCTCATGCTCCTCCATCTTATGGGGCAGCTGATAGCAACTATCCACCACCTTCTAATACTTACGGTGGAAACCCTGATGCAGTTCCCCCGCCTGCGAGTTATGTTGGTGGACCTGCATCTTATCCCCCTTCGTATGGTGCCCCTGGTGGCTATGGTGGGGATGCACCAGCTGATGCCCGTGGGGGTGGACGGGGTGGCCCGCCGGGTGGATATGATGGGGGATATGGCGGTGGTGCCCGGAATACAGGAGGTGGTTATGGTAGTTCTCCAGCTGAGGCTCCGGTAAAGGTCAAGCAATGCGATGAGAATTGTGGAGATCTCTGTGACAACGCAAGAATATATATCTCAAATTTGCCTCCTGATGTGACCGTCGAAGAACTTAGAGAACTTTTTGGGAGCATTGGACAAGTAATATGCAGATTTCTTTCGGTTATGATTCTCAGTATCAGATTCATTCTGTATTGTAGCATTTACGTTGTTTTTCTCTAACTTCACTTGAACCCTTGCTGTGTTAAATGTGGTATTGATGCCTGAGCTTAGACAAAAGGACGACCAAATACCTGTTATTATGATCTACTTGATTTTGCAGACCATTAAAATATTGCCATTGATTTGTGATAATGAAGTTGTTTACTTTTGTGACTTTCTCTTACCATATATACCAGGATTAGTGCTCAAGTTGTTTCTTTTTAATGTGTAGGTGGCAAGAATCAAGCAAAAACGAGGATACAAAGACCAGTGGCCTTGGAGCATAAAGCTATACACCGACGAACAGGGAAATAACAAAGGAGATGCAGTTCTGTCATACGAAGATCCTTCTGCAGCTCACTCTGCCGGCGGCTTTTTCAATAGTACTAACTAGACCCAAATTTATTCAATTGAGTTTATGCAGTATATAATTTACATGCTGACCATAAATATAATCATCATCAGATCATGACTTCAGAGGTTACAAAATCACTGTAGCAATGGCTGAAAAGTCTGCACCAAAGCCGCCTCCGGCATTTGGTTCTGGGTGAGCCTTCTTAAATTACTGCACACTCTTTCTATTCCATTGCATATTACATTCAGTTGTGCTACAATTCACAGTTTATATTAACTCACAACATGTCTTAGTGGTTGTGCTGTGGAATGTATACAGAGTTAGCAAGTGTGTTTTACTATATAGTGGACATATGGTTATTTTTACAAAATCTCTGGAGTTTTGGTTGTTTACTATTCAGATGAGCAGAGCTGTTCTTGCATCTAATGTTAACTGTAATTGTTGTGTCAAATTTCATACTGAAGTTGCATGCCTAAAATTCATGCTTGATGTTTACCTCGGGTGTGTATATTGAAGTTTAATTTCAATAATTATTTTTCAGTAATTTGTTAACATAATTGATACATTGATTTGTTCCCAGAGTAAAGTGAATTGAGCAATTAATATTTCATTTCTATAACTTGGTACTACATTTGTCCTTTTTGAGGTGCATGGGAATCAGCTTAATCTTAATTGTGTGGCTTCACTACTGAACATTTTTGCTTCATCCTGTAAAAATATATTTATCAGCATCATCTATGTCATCTATGTATATATCAATGTAAAACTGTAAAGTTACATGTATCAAATAATTTCATAGTGCTTTCAAGAATAAGTGTTTTTTTTTTTTTTTTGTGTGTTATCTGTTTTATTTCTTGTTTAGTGCTTTTAATTGTTTGTCCTCCTTTGCTACTTGAAAATTCACCTGCTGATTGACACCCTATGCATTCTTCCTGCCCTATATTCTTTCTATTGCCATTTAGAACTGTATATAACTATATATATTTTAATGGCTCAAGGTATAGAAAATTGTTTTATCTATTGGATTGAATGAAGAATATGTTGTTTCTTTTATATTATATAGTTCCATTGGGTTAATGGTATATTTGGCTGGCTTTATTTAAGCTGAGGGTATATCGGAAACCACCTCTCTATCTCTACGAGATAGGGGTAAGGTCTGCGTACAGTCTACTACCCTCCCCAGACCCCACTTGTTGTTATTTGTTGGGTTAAAGGTATAAATGGGGTGGGGATGTTTTGTGTATTCTGAACTTCTGAGTCCCTGTGCTAATTTGGAGAGTTAATATATCTCTTATGCTCAAGTCTCTCTTTACTTTGACAGCCGTGGCGGTCGAGGAGGTTATGGTGGTGGGCGCAGGGATAACTACAGAGACGGTGGAGGTTCTGGCCCAGATAGACAGTCTCATGGTGGAAACCGTTCACGTCCTTATTGAGTTCCAGTCAAGCATTTTATGTACTAAAATTTGTGGTGGGAGGGGTTTTTAATTAGTTCCATTTCAAGATATACTCTCTGTGACTTAAAAGAGGTAGGCTGTTCACTTACTTTCACTTGAGCAATATCCACCTTTTCTCCTTTCTTTCTGCTACTTGGGGTTGCGGAAGGGGTGAGTTTTTTCTAGTTCAGAACCTTTTTTGATATGTTGAATGTTTTGATAGAGGCGATTGGATATTCTGCAAATTGCTGCTAAGGTAGGTGAAATATTCAGGTGAGTGTTACTACTGTGGAAAACCGATTACTCTGGAATGATGTTTGGTCTCTTTAGGTGATTTTGCTTGCATGTTGGAAATGCTAGCATCTCTGCATTAGACCTTGTATAATGAATTTGTTTCCTATATGATGTTGCTGTTAATTACTTGAACTGTTTTCTTTTACTGTGTATCTGCTAGTTCAGTTTCTCTTCCATAGAAGAATGTTGAGACAAGTCTCTTATACTTCCGCATTTTTCAGCACAAATGGCGGAGTACAATGGTGAAATACTTGCTAATTTATTTGTAGGGATTAATTGTTGGATCAGAAAAAAGACAAACGATCACACAGCTATACAAATCATGATGATTGTGTTGCATACAATTTGAGAAAACAAGGCAGTATATTGATTCTTTGGTCTGAGCGCTTGCAAGTTGGTTTCAATCAATTTACAGGAAATAGTATTAGCGTCCAATTCTTTCGTCGTTCTAAATAAAATTGTGAGTGGCAATAAGGAGTTACTTTTTTGGTGCATGGAAGTTGCTTGAAATTTTATGTTGGTACTTTTGCAGGTTTTTTGGAACCCTTTTTAGCCATGTGTCTGTTTTTATCATTTTCTAATTTGGTACTTGCAAATTAGTACTTCTAGTGGATAGTAGGACATTCTAGTTGTATGACCTTGACTTATTCTGTTCTTCATACTATTCAGTCAATTAGCATTTAGACAATGTTTTAAACCTTTAATAATCCTTAAGATGGTATCGAGAACACTTTTGCTGTACTGAAAAATGATTTATAAGCTAAACACTAATCAGAGATTGTTTTCCTACAACCCGAAGGCGCTGTTCTGCTATCCTTGTGCTATGACTGAGATTCATCGATCTAAATAATATTTTTATTGAGGAGTTGGGGATTGGATGTCAGGTGTGAAGAAAGGTCTTCTGATATCTCTTAAGTTACCATGCAAATAAGATTTTGGTGATTTTATCAACTCCTGAAGGAAGGCGGTAGACAATGTTGTGCAATTCGTGATAATACCTATCAGATGTTTCATTCAAAGTGCAGCAATACCAGCAGAAATTTCTCGCTGTCGAAGACTGATGATAAAAATGGTGGTATTACAGTGGTCACATTTTATTTCAGTTTGTTGGTCTAAGCTACAATTTGAGCTGTTTTTTACTTGAAATGAAACGGGTCAGTTCGAACCAAATAATCATCATAAGACAGTCCAAACAGCAAGTATACTTTTAACTAGTAGGTTTGAGGAGTGCTGATCTGAGGTGGAAAGATTGTTTTTGATGACATAAAAGTAGTAGTAGTATGATGAAAAAGAAAGCAACGAAAGTTAAGAAGGCAAGACAAATTACTAAAGGAAGCAGAGCATACTAAAAAGGAATACTAAACTATAACAAAAATACATGCAAACGGAATAAGGTAGACGTAGTGTTCGAAAGCTTGCATCGACACTGAGTTGCGAACTTGCGATCCCACGTTGGGCTGGAAACGGCTATGCACCCAAATTCATATTTTAAAAAAGAAAACACACGAATGTTAAACATATAATAGATATTAAAATAAAATAAAATTCTACACATTTATACTAGGTCTCCATAATTAGCTTTAGAATTCATAAATTTAAAATTTCAATATTTGTCATCTTACTATGTGGACTTCTTCCAAAGCGAAGGATATCAGCTTTAACAATCTCTATTTCCCACACTCAACTTGTAAAATCAAGTAATGGAGTTAGAAATTTGACGGAGGGTATACAAATTTTTTTATTGTAATAAGAATATGTAAAATCAAATATATATCTATAGTAGCGAATATTTAATCCGTTTGTATACACATAACTTTCTAGGGAGGGTGTGCACCCAACCACCCTTGGCTCTCCCCCATGTCCTAAACAAGTTAAAAATAACAAGATTGAAACAATTTGTTTTAAGAAAATAAAAAGAAAGAGAGAAAAACAGGACCATTGAAAATTAGGAGTGTGTTTAGTAGGAAAGTAATCCAAAAAAGTAGGCTAATATTACGGATATATGTTCAATTATCCACATTTCTATCAAGCAAATTCAACTTACTTTAATTTTGTAACATTCTAAACTAATTGTTTCACCAAAATTTTCTTCCATTTTTTCTTGTTTAATCAACAAAAATGGTAAGAAGAAAAGTTTCAGCTTGGGCTGGATTTGTACAAGGGCGTCATCGTCAAGAATTAATTGTATGCCAATTTTCAGATATGACAAATTCAAAGGGATGTATTTGGTCTGGTGGTAACCCTTTTGCTTTTAGTTTACCACTTGTGTTGGCCCAATTGATTTTCATTTTCTTTGTTACAAGAATTACTTTTGCCCTCATTCAACCTCTTAAACAAAGTATGGTCAGTGCACAACTTATTGTAAGCTTCTTTTTTCTCACAATTTTATTTTACTTGTGTTGTAAAATTCAAGCTTACCAAGTAGTTTCAGGATTTGAATTTTATGAGTTTGAACAACTAAATATAATACCGTTTTCCGTTCATTTCTAAACATGTCTCTTTACCCCTCTTGAATTGAAATTTTCCAACCTAACATGCTTAAGACCACAAGGATATTTTGGTACATTTTACATATCTTTAATTTAAGATGCACCATTCAAAAGTTTTTAAACGGCATGCCAAATCAAAACTAGACAAACAAATTGAAAAAGAAGGATTATAATGTCTGGTTTTGTATGGAAAATGTGGGGTTTAACAGAAATTCTTGTGCCCGAAAATTCATGCTATCATCATTGTTACAAGTGGATTCAGGATTTAAATTTGATGACTTCAAGAACCAAACCTGATACCATTTTAAAATGGGTTCTTAATGTTTTATTTCTTGAAGTTATACTAATTTGTCACATGTGTATATTTATGTTTTGTATCGAAAATACTGGATTTAGTTGAACTTGTTGTTTATAGGCTGCTGCATAGATCCGCCTCTGATTATACCTTATAATTCTATTGCTTGCAGAGCTACGGTTTTAACTTGATGAGTTTAACCTTTTGTTTATACACCTCTGATCACATGTGTTGCAAAATTTATACTATCATTATTGTTGATCTAGAACAGGCTGGCATTATCATGGGGCGATCAGGCTTTGGTCGGATCCGTGCGTATTCATCCTTAATATTTCGACCAGAAGGCAGAATGGTACTACAGACAATCTCAGATGTTGGTTTCATGTTTCATGTTTTTGTTCTTGGAGTTCAAGTAGATCCAACAATGCTGAGAAGAGCGGGGAGAAACGCGGTTCTAATAGGTGTTTCATCTTTTGTTATGCCTTTTGCACTTGGAGGATTAGCCTGTTACGTATTACCTCATTTGACTGTCATAGATGACGCGACAGCGCATTTCCTGCCTTTGTTATCTGTAATTAACTCTGCTTCATTCTTTCCTGTGATCACTAGCCTTCTTAGTGATCTTAAGATTCTAAATTCGGAAATTGGTCGAATAGCTACATTAGCCTCCTTGGTTAATGACGGTTGTATATATGCTGCTTCCATACTTTTAACAACAATAGATGCATCATCAAGTTATTCAAAGTGGAATGGAGTAATGGCCATTGCATGGATAGGCACATTCCTGATAGTAATCGTGTTTGCTGTAAGGCCATTGGTGAAACATATTGCTAGGACTATACCGGAAAGAGGGGCTATGAAGGAAAGCCATTTTCTAATGATAGCTGTGCTAGCTCTCCTCTGTGGATTTGTGTCCCAGTCTATTGGACAGCCTCCTGCTGTTGGTACTTTTATTTTGGGAGTAGTGGTGCCAGAGGGACCGCCTTTGGGCTCATCGATGGTCTACAAGATCGATTCTTTATGTACTGGATTGCTGCTTCCTGCTAAGTTTGCTATCAGTGGGTTGACATTGGACATATTCTCCCTAGGAAGAGGAAAGAGTCTTTTAGGGGTCGAAGCAGTGATCCTATTGGGTTATTTAGGTAAGTTTGCTGGCACTCTTGTTTCAGCTGTTCACTTTGCTGTTTCCTTCCAAGATGCAGTACCTCTTGCTCTCATCATGTGCTGCAAAGGAATTATCGAGGCATCCTTTTATATCGGCTTAAAGGATACTGGAGTACGCAACCTATCTCCTCTCTTTTCTATGGCTATATATAAACTCTGTATTTTTTCTGCTATATCATGTACCTGTTAGTAGTCCCACTGTTATACTGTCACTGCTATTCACTAATAGTAAACAAGTTATTTACATGTCTCGTATTTGGTTTATCTACAGGCAATAACAAGTGAAGCATATGCGCTTTTGTTAATCACAATGTTGGTCATAACAGGAATTGTGAGACCTTTAATTTGGTACCTCTATGATCCATCAAGAAGGTACTTAGGCTACAGAACAAATAGTATACAACATTTGGATCCGACCAGTGAGCTTCGGGTACAAGTGTGTATTCACAACGAAGATAATGTCCCAAGCTTAGTCAATCTTCTTGATGTGTCCAATCCATCTAGAAGGAGACCGATTGCAGTGTTTGTTCTTAATCTAATGGAGCTCAAAGGCAGCGCAGCTGCTTTACTGGTGCCAACTCATAATAGAAAAGGCAAACCGAAACTCAAGTCTCTGCCTAGCAGAACTGAACATATATCTAATGCATTCAACATTCTCGCACATAGAAATCACGGTTCTATGGTTGTTCAACACTTCACCTCCATTGTTCCGTATGCCACTATGCACGATGACATATGTACAATCGCGGTGGACAAAGGTGTCAATATTGTGATCATCCCATTCCACAAGCAGTGGGCTATTGATGGAACAGTAGGAGCCAATTTCCCTGCAATTAGGATGGTGAACCAACAGGTACTCCATAAAGCACCTTGCTCAGTCGGGATCCTAGTTGATCGGGGACAATTAGCCGATAACACACAAATCTTGTTTGGCCATTCTCTTTTCCGCATCACAATGCTTTACCTAGGTGGTCCTGATGATGATGAGGCACTTGCCTATTGCTGCAGGATGCTAGGGCATCCCCACATCACCATGAGTCTCGTCTGGCTCAAACATTCGAGTGACAATATCGAGAAGAGTATGGAGTCACATATGATACAATGGTTCAAGGCTAATAATGTGGATGCAGGGAGAGTGAGTTACAAAGAAGAAGTGGTGAATGATGCAGTGGGGACAACTCAGGTTCTTCGTTCACTCGAGGACAGTTGTGATCTTTGTATAGTTGGTAGAGACCACGAACAGTCCGAGTTAACACTAGGGATCAATGAATGGATCGAGTGTCCAGAACTAGGATTTATTGGAGACATGTTAGCTACTTCGGATTATAGTTTTTCATTGCTCGTTGTGCAACAAACACCACCCGGGACCGAGTTTATAAACATCCAGCCACTGCAGCCTGTTGCTAGCAGTTTTTATTCTGGTTCAGGTAAATATAGTCAGCATTCTGGTTCAGGTAAATATAGTCAGCATTCTGGTTATGGCCCTTTTGGGTAGCAACTGAAGTTGTTTTCCTCTTTGATCAATGCCAAGAATGTAGAAAATAGGTTAAAGGATACACAGAAAAAAAAGAAAGAAAAGGTCCTGTGTATTGTAAATTTTGTCAAAATTGTAGGTAGAAATTAGCAAGCACAAAGTTCAGTTTTACTTTTATGTATAATGGAAGTAGTCACTATTGAACTTGTTGCAAAAGGTTACTACTTGCCTTATGTGATCTGATAGTGCGTGTGACAACTAGAAATTCACCATTCTAAAGAGTCTCGAGTTTCCCATAGAAAACATGTGGTCAACAGTTTTAACATTTAAGCAGAGTTTTGGTTATATCTATCTTACACACCGTTCTGTTCTCAAGGCTTGAATTCAAGACTTGTGATCATGAATCGGGGAATCCGAATCATTCTATAATACCTGGTCTTTCTCCTTTTACATTTTCTTGGAGAAAAAAAATGCTGCAAATGTGAGCAGTTGTACGATTAACAGATGTAATATTTTCCCTAATTTACTTTGGGTAGTTAGTTGACAGGCTGCCTAACCCATATAATGAAAGTGAAGTTCCACATTTTAATAATTGAGGGATTAACTGAATCTAGTAAAGCTTGTTAACCACTTCCTTGATCGTACTTAAGCTTAAGTGTGAAGTTGTTTGGGTTAGCAATGGTACAATTACTTGACAAAATTTCACTTTTTAAGCTTAATTATGATAATTAAGTATTTAGTTGCACACATGTCATGCTAATATTTGCACTTGTTCCTTGGACTAATAAACCTCATCGTGATTAATATTTTTATCGAAAAAAATAGGTTCAAGTTATTAACGTATAGTAATTACTAATAATAAGATTATACTAGCCATTTATAGTTTTTTAAGTTTTGATCTAAATGTATTTTCATATGTTTTTATGAAAATACATGTCTCGTCTTTATTTGTTAGGTAAGTATCCTTTTAATCCACCAAAAACCAACCCCAAAATTCAACCTTAGTTTACTTTGTTTTACTTCAATCACTTGAAAATTAATAAACTTGACTTCTAAATTAATGATTTATATCTATTAAATATTTTTAAAAACAAATATAAAATTTGAGTCAAAACTACTAATTCTGTCGAACTCGTACCATCAACTCCTACTTGGACAATGCATTTCAAGAACTTGTATGAATTTGAATGCCGACACTTCCTATGAGAAGCCACGAGAACAACATATTCAATGTAATTCTAAAAACGAGATCTAAATATATAGAAAGAATATTTTCGATAGCCTTCGACTCAAGAAGAAATGCACATTTGGGTTATGTTGTTATAGCAACTGGAGCCATATGCTCGCATGTAATTGGTTTACCTTCTTCAATGTTTGGCCAACAAACAGTCCATTCATACTTAGATTAGATGTTTCAATTGTCTTTATCATGCTAATAAAATAATTCAACTAGATATATATATATAAAAAGATTAATCTAGTTAGAGCTGTCAATATGAGCTGGTTCATTTCATCCGAGCTAATTCATACATGCTTTGAAATTTGATGGGTCAGGTCGGGCTAGCCCATTTTTGGTGTGGGCTAGAAAATGGTCGGCCCAGCCCACAAGTACTTGGCTACGGGATTGCCGGGACAACCCTCTTTTCGTAAAAATATATTTTTATAATTTTTTAAATTAAATTATAATTTAAAAATATTATCATAAATATTGACAAGATATATTACATGGGGTTAGTGTTACTACTTGTTAATCAAATCCACAAATAAAATTATCTTTATAATATTTATTAAGTTTGATTTAAAGTAAAAACATAAATAGTTAAATAAAAATATTAACCTAATTATTTTTCAATGATCATAATAAAACACAAAAACTATGATAATATTCTATAGGCTACGGCCTATGTACGTAGTGATTCCTAAAAATTTTAATGAATTTTTATTTTATGTAATACATATTTTATAAATATAATTTGTATTTAAATTGTAATATTTCAAACTTTAACAGATTTTGAGTTTAGACTCTTGTTATTTTTAATACTCTATTTTATTTTTTAATTATTTTTTATTTAGCCCACGGGTCGGCCCTATACATATTTCTCAAGCCCCACAAATTGGCAGATTTATTCAGGCCGGGCTAAAAAGCCCTTTTCTTAAATGGGCTCCAAAAATCGTAGCCCAACCCTATCAAATCACGGGTTAGGCCAGACCGGGCCTAGCCCATATTGACGGCTCTAAATCTAGTCTTGAATAAAGTTCCATTATCCTCAATTAATTTCAAACGAGTTTAACTTCTATATTGTAATTGTTATGCTATCAAATAACTTAAACATGACTACATGAAAAATTTAATCGTCCGTTAAAATTTAAAAGTGATATTAATACTGAAAAATAGGACAAGTTTCTTGTTATAACTTGTTAAAATACACAAATACACCAATTCTATTTCAATTTCATCGACCATTTTCTTCTTATTAAATCTTAGTTTCAACTATGTTGACATATTAAATAACAGCAAGATTAGAAATTGAAGAAGATATTGTGAGAAAATTTTGACAATTCAAAAGAAAAAAAGAAAGAGGAAACCGTTATTAACTGAATAGTCAAAAATTACTTACTGATTTCAGACACCGTAGTCTTATATTTTAATTAGACTAAGAATTAAATTGCAAGTGGTTGCACCAAATCCACCATATAGTTGGACTAATTTGCCTAAAACTTTCCCAAATCTTTTTTTGACTTTAAACTAATCTTTTTTTTAAAGAATAAACAAAATTTACGATTCCCTCCTTGTAACCTTATAAATAGACAACTTCATTAAGTCCTCTAATAAAGCATTACAACTTTAAAGCTTTTTACTAAAGCAAATGCACAAAAACATAGAAATGAAGACTTACATAAGTTGTCTCATTGTGGTTATATTATCACTACTATCTTATTTTGCTAATGCAGAATCTCACAAACATGATTTTACTGTGAGTATACATTCACCTTTTTAAATATAATTTAGAAAAATTATCCAACATTGTCATGATTTTTTTTTTTTTTTTTGGACAGGTTCAACAAACTAGGGTAACTAGGCTATGCAGAACCAAGAATATAATTACAGTGAATGGACAATTTCCAGGGCCAACCTTGACAGTTCGAAACGGAGATACAGTGGTTGTTACTGTTGTTAATAGAGCACGTTACAACGTTACTATCCATTGGTAATTACCTTATAAGTGACAAGTATTTTTTTGCATGTCAATGTATAGAACTTAAACTGTTGTAAATTTTCATGCAGGCATGGAATTCGTCAAATGCGAACACCATGGGCTGATGGGCCTGAGTATGTAACACAATGCCCAATAAGACCAGGAGGATCTTACACATATAGATTTACTATTGAAAACCAAGAGGGTACATTGTGGTGGCATGCTCATAGCAAATGGCTAAGAGCTACTGTTTATGGTGCATTAGTTATTTTACCTAAACAGGGTTCTAATTTTCCTTTTTCACTGCCCCAGAAAGATTTTCCTGTTATTCTTGGTAATGCTTCTTTCTCATTATCTTTTCGATTTAACTTATATACACTAACAGTGAGAACACACTTTTTCCACTAATTTTATTACACTCCGAATTCGATATGATTATATGTTTTTCATTTTGTATAGGGGAATGGTGGAACAGAGACATTATTGCAGTACAAAGACAAGCACAATTTACTGGAGCAGCTCCTAATATTTCTGATGCATATACTATTAATGGTCAACCTGGTGACCTGTATAGATGTTCTACACAAGGTCCTTACTACATAAAAGAAAATGAAACATCACCGATTAACCTTATATACACTGACGGTGTAAATAATCCGTGAAATGACTAATTCAGGATTTTAATGCAGGTACTGTGAAGTACTCGGTGAATCCCGGAGAATCTGTTCTCCTGAGGGTGATCAACGCTGCACTCAATCAACAACTTTTTTTCTCAGTTGCAAACCACATGCTCACTGTTGTGGGTATTGATGCTACTTACAACAAGCCTTTTACAACTAATGTCATTATGGTTGGACCTGGACAAACAACTAATGTAATTCTCACTGCTAATCAGTCCCCTCGCCAATACTACATGGCCGCTCGTGCCTATGCCACAGTCAGAAATGGGCAATTTGATAACACTACTACCACTGCCATCCTTGAGTACAAAAATCTGAACTCGGGCGCGAATTCAAGGCCTTTATTGCCTCAACTTCCAGCCTTTAATGATACAGCCACAGCCACTGCTTTCGCTAACCGATTGAGGGGCGTTCCTAACAATAATAGAGTTCCCAATCAGATTGATGAGAACTTGTTTTTCACTGTTGGACTAGGCTTAGTGAACTGCACCCGTGGCCCTAGATGTCAAGGGCCTAATAATACGCGATTTGCAGCTAGCATGAACAACATTTCATTTGTTTTACCTAGAAGAACTTCATTGCTCCAGGCCTATTACCAAAAAATTCCAGGGATTTATACATTGGACTTTCCACGTGTTCCACCGGTTCAATTTGATTACACAGGCAATGTTTCAAGAGGACTCTGGCAACCAAGATTTGGAACAAAGTTGTACAAGCTCAAGTTTGGTTCTAATGTACAAATTGTGTTGCAAGATACTGCTATCTTCTCTACAGAGGACCATCCTATACATCTTCACGGATACCATTTTTGGGTCGTTGGACAAGGTTTTGGTAACTTCAATGCTCAAACTGATACTGCTAACTTTAACTTGAATGATCCGCCTGTCAGGAACACAATCGATGTTCCTGTTGGTGGATGGACAGTCATCCGTTTCGTGGCTGATAATCCAGGTAAAGAACCTGATTTCATCATTAAAAATGTTCAAATTTTCAAATTTTATACCTGTTTTGATAATTTGATTGATTTGTTGCAGGGGTTTGGTTGTTCCATTGCCACATTGATTCTCATTTGGCTTGGGGCCTAGCTATGGCATTCATCGTCGAAAATGGAATAGGAGAGAAACAGACAATGGAACCACCTCCACCAGATCTACCACAATGCTAAAAATATATAGTGAATGTTAGATTCGGAAGAATCATATGTTTTGCAATTATAGCAAATTGTCCTT